ATTATTTCTTTTATAAATAGCGATTAAATTTGAATTATGTTTATTAATTTATTAATTTATTAATTTATTTTGGATACATAGAATGCTGATATACAATTTATTTGAGCAGGAAAATCGGAAAAATATCTATATATTTATTATAAAATTATTCAGATTTAAAGTTTTCTTAATAATTCTTCAATTTTGTGATAGAATTTTAAATTTTACTATTTTCAAAAAAATTGTTGATTAATTTAATTTAATAATTTATTTATTTTAAGACTATGCTGATTTCAGTACATATGATCTATGATGTCTGCTATTTATGAATCAGTGAACAGGAAACTATTTTGATAAGCAGACTAGACATCAATAACTTTATGCAAGTTGCACCTTTTCGTTATAAAACTAGAGTTTGCGATTATATGATGAGAATATTAATAATTCGAGAGAAAAACACATAAACGTATCAGAATATCAATTTTTTAAAATTAAAATACGCTTGTATCATTATACGCTTGTATTGACATAAGTACATATTAGGTGTAGTAAAAAGAAATCCATTATTTTTTCAATAGATGGCTTTAGTAATCTGTATCACGTGTAGACGAGATACAGATTACTAAAGCCATCTATTGGAAAAATAATGGATTTAATTTTACTGCACCTAATATTATACTGATTTAATATAGTACTAAACACTACTGCATTAGTTTTCAAGAGATAATTTTAAGATAATGGAGCTTTCGCTAAATATTTTTACTATGTTAAAAAATTTCTATTTATGTGAAAGTTATAATTTATGTTGCTGAGATATGTAAATAGCAATTAAATTATTTTATCTTTCTTTTTCTCTCTTTCTAACAATTTAATTGTATGTAAATAATATAATATACATATGTACATATATTTATAAAATTAATATTCTCTAATTAAAAAAACTTTACACTTATCTGTATTATTAATGTTTTTACTTAAAATTTTAAATATTAAGTATTTAAAAAGATATAAAAAATGATTTACAAAAATTATAGATGACTATTTTCTTTACTTTCAAATTACATATATTTCTTTTTTCTTTTTAACTCTAATTAATAATGATATATTAATTAATGATATATAAAATTAATGATATATAAAAGATATATTAATTATGTGTAATAATATAATATGTTTTAGTAAATAATTTGTTAATTTTATATAAAAGTATTTTTTTTGCAAACTTTTGAATGTTTTAGTATAACTTCTTGAATTATCAATAGCCCTTTGTTATTACTAAACAATAAATCACTTCCTAGATCTCTCTATAAATTCACACGTATATTCAATTATAAATCAATATGAATAACGACATTCGTGTACATTTTATGCCTTTCTCTGGCTTTTGCTGAAAAAGAAGCTTACGCAAAAATGTTGTTCTTTTGTTAAATCTTTGTTCTGCAGCATGTTTGAATTATAAGTGAAGGTAGGAAGTAATACCTTTTCCCATACGTTCACTTCCGCATCTCCGCCTATGAACTTAAATTTCAATCTTGTTATACTGATTATGTCTTAATTTAATTTTTTACGTAATTGATTTTTGTATAAATTTTACATAATTAAATTAAATTAGATGATAAATATCTTAAATTATATTAATTTTTAATAATTCAATTAATAGAAAATAATTTAAATTATAGATATTAAATAATTTATAGATATTAAATAATTTAATTAATTAAAAATAATTTAACATGCAAATTTATTTAACAAAAATATGTTTCTGTGCATTTTATTATAATTCTTTAAAAAAATAATTTAAAATTAAAAAAATGTTAAAATTAAAAATTAAAATTAGATTTTAAATTTTTGTTATACACATTGTGCTTGTGCAATTGTAGAATTAATTACGAAATTTTAACATATGGAATGGTATCAGATTTGAATGATAAAATAAGGCTTTAGAGTGAGAAGAATAATAACCGGTTCGACACAAAAGCAAAAGTAAAATTATTTGCACGATCTTCTCTTTCTCCTCTCACTTTCAATGAAAGTCGGCAAATTCATTCACGGAGATTGTTCGTAATAACGGTATAGTTAATACACAAATTGATAATTAATGTTTATGCTTTTAATAATCGCAATTAACTTTGTATAAACAGATATACGGATGCATTTATCAGATTACTCATGTAATTCGGAAATAATCAATTGCAGCTAACAAATTTAAATCTTTAATTTTAGAAATGTTATGTTCATTTTTCACAATAGTTATTGATTCATTTGATTTGATCTAAATTGTCCTTATTACTGGATTTAATTTCATATTTTTGCGGTTCCAGCGACTTTATGATTATTCAGATAATGGTTTCGGTTTCATGATTTTTCTCTTTGTTGCTTTTATTTTAGCAATGTTACAGACATTGGTATTAGTGCAATCTCATATAGTATAAATAATAAGTGTTTATACGAGTAAATGATTTGCAATCATCGGAGAAAGTGTGCTGTGCCTACTTTTCTATACTTATTAACAAAAAAAGAATAAATAAATACAATGAAATGATTCTAAAATTGGAATAAAGCTCGTAATCATTATTAACAGAAATATATGATACTAAATAATAAATATTGATAAAATATCGAAAAGAACTCCCTAAAAATAAATCAATGTATTATTACTGAAAAACAATAAATATTCATTGATGATTACATCAGTTATAAGCAATGATGGGTAAGATACTCTTAAAATTTATCTATATACAGATACAGTTACATATACGTAAATTTATCTAAAAATACAGATATAGATACACATATAAAGATGTATATAGATGCAGATATTAGATACTTTGAAAGTATCTTCAGATACATTTCAGATATTCTTAAATTAATTTTATTGTAATAATGATAATATATAAAAAAATATATTAGTTATTAAATGAATCATTCATTTATTCATATAGATAATTCATATAATCATTCATTTATTTATATAAATAATTAAAAAAACTTATAATTATCATAAAACGATTTAGAATAAGAATTATAAGATGATATTATTCATTATAGTTTTACAAATTAAAAATGCTGCAAGCATTATGTTTCCTATACAGCTTAACTATACATGCGTTAGAAATTTTATAATCTAAGATCACTGGTTATGTTCAGCAGAAAAAGCAGCTGTGTAATTCTTTAATATGACTGATTTGTATTTAAATCCTATGAGGAACTTTCCTGAAAGATCAATCATGTTATAGAATTTTTGCAACAGCAAAGCTGCTTTTTTTTCTGCGGAATAGGATCAATCGACAATTACGCATAAAATAAAATTATGACTATGCTGAGGAAATGTATCTGTAAAATGCATCTGAAAATCAGTTCAGAAGAAAAATCAGTTTGTTGTGTTTTTTTATCTAAATACAGATACAAATACTCGAATTTGAATGTATCTCAGATACAGATTAGATATACAAAATGTATCTCTATACATGTATCTAAATATATGTATAGAGATACTACCTCCAACACTGGTTATAAATATAGCACTGAAATCACTGATTCACTTTTATTAAAATTATTCTATTCATTATTATTATTGTATTCACTCTAAAAAACATCGGTGTGGATTTAATATGGATTTAACACCATGGGTGTGTAGATTTTAAATTTGTAGTGTTAAATCTATGTTGGTTTTTAATTTAACACCAACATAAAAATTATATAGACCTCATGGAATTAAGCATTCACACCGCTAGTTTTTAAAGTGTTATAATAAATAATTGTATTATAAAGTTATTGTATTATAATAAATAATATATATAATCTAAAACAAACGTGTTTTTTATCTTTGCGAGATAATTACTTTATAAATTTGGATTATATATTTATTATATCAATCTCATTAAATAATGTCAATTTTTAAAGTAATAATTTTGTTAAAACTGTACTAAATACAAATATATTAATATAAACATATTAAAGTAAGAAGAAAAACATTAGAAATTGAAACATATATTCTAAAATACCTTAAGAAAATATTTTTTTTATAAAATTTGTTTTAAAAAAGCATTTTTATTCTAGATTCTGTTTGAAATGAAATAAATATTTCTGTCGCGACTGATTGACAATGAACTTGTATTTTTTTACGAAACGAATGCCACTCTTATGTTATATTGCACGTATGCGAAATGGAAATCGATGAATCAGGTCGCAGGCCTTCTTACTTTGTATGAACTCCGTCGCTACCTTTCGGTGATAGTCCTTTCACTCTCGTTTACATTACATTCGCTTCGCTTCTGAGAAGATATTGATCGCACGTTTTTCATATTAGTATACAACCGGAAATTGAAACGTAAGTTATATGTCGAAATTATTATTTCCTATGCTTTTTTACTATTTGTATGAGATAATCTAACGAGAAACTATGGTCAATCAATCTGTGAATAATCTTTTTTGTTTATTATATACTAAATATAATGCATATATGTAAATATATATTTTATATATTATAATAGATTTATATTAAATAAATTAAATTTTTCACATAATACGTTATAAATCACTCTTATATAAATATATACCTTATATTGAAAGGATTTATACATATATTTTATATAAATATATTATTTAATTTAATCTAAATTAAAATTAAGAAAAATATGTATAAAAGTATTCTTAATTTGCATTTTTTTAAACATGTATCTATTAAGTTTCGTATTGGAAAGGGTGTGTCTCTTTGTGATCAATCGTGACTCTCAATCTCTTTGTTCGTGATTCATGTTAAGACCTCTTACCCTACTGTATTTTCTTTCCGTCCCATTAGTTCATTATCGTTTGGGTCGTTGAACTAATTGCACTGAGAAGTCTAATTGCAAAAACGAACAACCGCAAAAAACGGAAGAAGAAGAGACGAGATCAACGGAGAAAGAGATCGGCTAGTCGGAAAGAGAGTGAGTGAGTGTTTTCTTCGTGGTGAACCGATTCATGGTGAAGGTCCCCGTATATAAGCCACGGTGTAGACTATGATAGTCAGTACGAAAACACCATCGGATCTTGATCCAGAACCACAAGATGACAATCATGTTGAAATTCGTAAGTTTCTACCGTGGTCAAAAATTTTAAAATCATGAAGATTTCAGAATCATCGTATTTCTTCATTTCTTCTGGATAACACGACTTTCGGATTACTGGAAATGGCTTTGTGATACGTGTGTTTGATAGTGATTTTGATAAATCTCTTGAGAATGATGGATTACGAATGACATTATTTCAAAATTTTTCTCTCGAAATGCGATCGCTTAAATATATATTTAAATTGAAATCTATAGAAATACAGATAATCGTGAAATATAAACTGTGATTGAAATTTGAGTATTGAATTTGAGAATTGAACAGTTGTAATTTTATTAAAAATGAACGAAATTGTAATTAGAGAAAAGAGTTTTAAAGTCCAAAATCTCTACTTTTGAAAGGTCATTGTATTTTTTCTATAAAATTGATTATTTTTATATATAAAAAACTATCAGTTGAACAAAATGAAAAATTTTCTTCTCATTTTGTAGGTCTGTCACGTGACCAAAAATGACATGCAAAAATTTTCGATTTATAACGTAAAAGCTTAAGATTTTGCCTACAAAATTCTTTTAAAAACATTTCTAAGATTTTTTAAACTTATTACTAAGTTATTGACAACTGACTGAGCATTTTTGACAACTGAAAAGAGCATTTCGACTTTGATAATTGTTCATAACTTCGTTAAAAATCATTGTATCGTAATAAAAAATACAGATTTTTTAAACTAAAACTTTGTTCTATCAATGGTATAATTGCCAAATTATAATAAAAAAAATTTTTTTAAACAGATATATGATACAAATAAAGTAGTGTTATAAATTTTTGTTCTAACTCAATATAAAAATTAAGTACTATTTTGATATTAATATATCATCATTATAATTTTCAAATAATTATTCTTTTCTATTTATTTAAATCATAAATTTATAACTCTATTAATTACATAAATGTTGAGATTTAAAGTATTTAAATTTTGATCGTTGAAATTTTCTACGCAATTGCTTTCATTGCAATTGCTGTGGTGTCATGTTCAATCGCTAATTTACAATCTGTCAGACAAGTCCGTTACGCTTTCATGACGATGTTACACCTTTGCAGTTTTTACTCACGCTGGTGGCGATGGCGGTCACGGCATGGCCCTCGTTCTTGGTACATGAAGGCCACGGTCTTGGAGCAGATGAGCCCAAACTCATCTCGCAATCAGTACATTTACAGGAGGTACCGACCAAGGTGATCAAGGTTACTAAGACAGTAGCCATCAAGGTCCCTGTACCGTATCCCGTTAAGGTGAGCAGTTTTCCGAGAAAACGAAAGCTAATTAACAATTCGAAAGTATTGATATATTAACTTGATATATTTTTCAAGTTTTCATAAATTTAATCTTGTTATTTTAAAAAATTTGAAATCGGATGTTGAGATCCAAAATAATTGCAAAGATCATAATTAGATTTGTAAAACTAATACTTGACAATAAAACGAAAGAAGCAAATAAAATAGAATATAATAAAACATTTTTTTCCAATAAATTCATATATTTATAAAAAATAAAAACGTCTAAAAATTTCATTGCTTTTTCTTAAGAAATTTTCTTAAGAACATCTTTTTTAAGAATTTTTAATATAATTAAGTACATTTTTTACATTTTAATGCTGAAATTATTTATACAGATTACATATATTAGGTGTTGGAATTAATTCGTAGCGTTTTACAAGTGATGGGAAGTACTTTCATTAATGTATTTTTTAATGCTCATGTGAAATAAATAACATTCTTTCATTAAAAACGCTACGAATTAATTCCAACACCTAATATATATATGTATAATATATATATAATATATATGTGTGTATATATTAGGTGTTGGAATTAATTCGTAGCGTTTTCTTTCCGAAATTCGAGGCTTTATTGTAAAAAACTGGTTATATGATTCAAAGTATTGTCCATCGCTGGCCACTACTTTCTCCCATCTTTCGGGCAGCGTA